CAGGAAATGCATTTGATGGATTGCAATTCAATTCAAAATAATTTATTCATCCCCGGACGGCAATCTGAGCAGTGAGCAGTGTTAAATAATTAAAATAACATTACTCAGAAACAATATATAGGAACATAAATTAAAACAGCCTGCAGACCATAAAAATGATTGAAAGTCACAGTGTGTAGTATTTAGGAAGGTGTTAAAGTGCATGCGCATTTGTTGAAGGGGCTCTATCCAATACACATCATATTGATCAAACTTCTTTCTGCTCAGTGTTTGCAATCCCGCCGGCCTCTGGAACAAAGCTAAATGTCCTTTTCCTTGTCTTGCACTGCGGCAGTGAAACCGTCTTCCTGAAGGCAGAAGCTCAGCAGACTGGTGAAGGATGTGGGGGTCTTCAGTGATGCCACAGGCCTTCCTCAGGGTCTGCTGGGCATACAGCTGTGCCAGGGGTCCCGAAAGTTCACCAATGGTTTAAGAGCTGAGATTTACAACATTTTGAAGACAGTGTTTGTCCTTTTGACTGAGTGACGTGAACCCACACATACAGGAAAAAAGCTCAAATACTTTCGATAAAAGAGCTATAGAAATGTGAAAGAATTCTTTTTTGGACTCCAAAGGAACTCAGTTTTCTCAGGCCACATAAACTCTGCTGGGATTTTCTTGACTTGTGTGGATTGTGACGGTGCTTTGCAATGCAAAAGCCTGCGAATTCTCCAGCAGATCATCCTTTTACACTCGCGGTAAAGAACTGGGTGTAGATCAGGGCTCTGCCCTCAAACAGGGGCACCGTTTTGGTTAAAACGAGTCCCTGTTACTGCTCCCAGCTGACAGGGGCCACACAGAAGCAACTCCCTCTTCCATACAAATTACAGGCGCTGCCTCTCTGCCCTCCACCAGCGCGAAACACAGGCTCTCATTGCCGATGGGCCCGGAGATGAACCTGCCTGGTGTTTAGCAAACGTGCAAAGGAAGGTATCTGTCTGCCGGGGCTTTGATCTCTGTGACACGCTGTCGAAGCTGCAAGTTCGAACAGGCCCAAGCTCTGCTCAAAACAAATGCCCGGCAACCTCCCAGCCGGGCAACACCTAGCAACAGGGAGAGGGCAGCTCTTTGGCTGCAGGTACAGGGAGGCTGCCAGCCAGGCGACTGTGCCGCGCGCGTCTTGAGCAGGATATATTGCACTCTGGCCGGTTCCAGTACCGAAAGTAATGGTAACTGGTAATGATCTGACAGTGGTTTTCCAAGAGTGGGAATGTTATCCGTCACCCCTGTTAGATGATGGAGTGAATATTGCTGCTTTCAAATCCTGGTAACTTTGAAGGTGGATAAACCCCCTTCTTTTTCAAAACCCAATCCCATATTTAAGCTTGAGTTTGATGCATCTCCAGTCCCAGAATGCTGGTGTCACAGTGTTGTGACATTACAGTTAACTGCCCAGGACCCCGAGTCCTCTCTCTCTCTCTGCTTCATAATTCCTGACTGTGTCTCCGGCTGTGCGAGAGCCCTCCCCCCCCTGCCCTGGGTTCGAGACAGGCCTGCCATCCCGCCTGCTGGCCTGGCCGCGCCGGGACTGTGCTACAGGGCTTCTTTTCTGTGCCAAACTCAGCCACAACGAAAACGGGGCGCCATGTCTCTGCAGC